ATCTCCTTGCAACTCTCCATGCAACTCTTAAATGAGAGGAACAGTTGACAGTATTCCATGCAGAGTCCACACACACAACCTGAAAGTGATTTCTACCTTATGGGGAAACCCAAAATATAAGAAAAGAGGTGGGAAAATGCCCTAAAAGGGGGATATTTCTGTGACAAATTTGACACTCCCTGCCTTGTTTCTTGCAGACTCTGGCCTGCCACACCAATGCCCACTGTCCTGGTCATTCCCATAGGACCATCATATGCCAGTCCCACACTCACAACCGCCCTGTTGTCAGTGGAGGTGTGCAAAGGCATATACTCACTTTAGCTATTTCACTCATTGAAATTTCCTCTTATCCTCCCAGAACATCTATCCTAACACCTACATTCGTCATGATTAAGGGCAGTATTTGCCCTCAGGCCAGTACCGAGCAATTCAGGAGTCCAAAGATGGTTGATGAGGTTACCAGCTGTCTGCATCACCCCAGCCCCTGGACGGCTAAGACACTTACGCAGCAGCTGCGGGACCACTGCGGCCTTTGGGCAAATGAAACCCATGAGTGTGCTTCAAAACACTCTGCTTACATTGTAGTGATCAGCTGTTGATTCACAAGTGCATTAGTCATCTGTGCAGCAGAACAGTGCAGACAACTGGGCGGAAGAACCCATTAGACATTTCAAGATGTGCTTATGAACCAAAGCCCTGCATGCTATTTTCAGAGACGGCTGAGGATATATTTACATTGCCAACCAGCAATGTAGCTGCAGTTCCCAGAGAATGCTCTAAGCTATGAATCTGTAGCAGCAAGCTCACCAATCTGACCAGCATCAAAACCTGCACCATTGTGTGATGCTGTTATCAGCATCCTGAGTATTTAGTTTTAAGTAGTCACATAAGACTGCAAGATGGGCACTTCTTGGGACAACAATGACGACAAGCCCTTAAGCATATAGGGGTAAAGATAGTGGGTTCTAGTCTGCAAAATGCCTGCATTAGCTTGGGAAACAGAATACAGGCTTCTAAATCACAGAGGTGTTTCCATAAATATTTCTGAAAGTCACCTCCAAATATGAGTACAAACCCTGCAAACAACCTTGAAATCTCAGCTTCCTGTTCCTGACACACCAAATGTATTAAAACCAGTTTTAAAACACTTGAAGGATTGCTTTGCAGCTCTGATATTCAGGCATTTTGACATTTGACAGTCAAATGAGGAAACACACAGACAGGTGACAGCCTTCCTTGGGAGACCTCCTATCAGTTGTGTTCGAGAAGGAATGTGACATCCTGGCTTTATCGCAGATCACTTTGCACCTGTGAAGGCATCCAACCTCGTATGCCTGTATCTTACCCAGCCATACAAGGTGAACCAGACTGTCCAGAGCTTCTATCTTCTCAATGATGTTGTTGTCCAGCTGCAGTTTAGTCAGATTCTCAAACTGCCACAGATTATCAATCTGCAGGATATCTAAAGCCACAGGAAAAAAAAACAAAAAAACCAAACAACCAAAATTGCTTTTCTTGTGAGACAGCTTTTAGTTTAGCGGACACGCTAACCTGCACAAGGAAAACATGTCCAGTCTTACCTCCAAAATGATTTTCAGCAGATTATGACAGCGTGTGATGACTGCCCTAGAGAGCTGAGAGGTCCACTGGCTGGACGAGATTTCAATGAAACAGCCCAGTTAACCTCAGTGTCCTGCACCAGCGCACACTGCTCATCAGCGATGCCAACGAGTCGCTGAGGGGATGCTGACTATAGCCCTGCAGTCAGGAGTGGCTTTGTGAATCCACTACTAGGAGGCCTTGACCTTCATTTTCCTTTCCAGCTCCATGAGGGAGGTTTGGGATGAGACTCTGCTTTTCTCCGCATTTGCAGGCTAGCGGTGGCCAGCTACTGCTTTGGTAAATTACTCTCCTGCTCCTGGGATTCTCATCACAGGAGAGCAAGTTGGGGTGTCTACTCTTTGTGTGAAGGCTGCAGTTTAGAACTAATCAATATCCCTGCATTTAGCTTCCTCCAAAAACAGAATCACAAGGGCAGGTCGTTAGGCACTACAACAAAACATTAGGACCAAGGTGACAGAAAATACAGAACATTCTCACTCCCAATTCTCTTTTCCTCCGCAATGGCCTCCCAGAGGATTTCGTTAGCTGCTCTGCTGCTATCATTGTTTAGTGAGTGCAGAGTAAAGCAAGGAATTGCATGCATAAAATATTCACACAGTTCTGTATTTTGTATTTGCAAATAAATACATGCAGGATCAGGTAAAAGGGAGTCTGTTCTAAGGAACTCAACTAATACATGCATTATTTTACTGGAGCACACAATGAATAATCAAAAGCAGATTTTTGCCCATGAAATTACATACCCCCAAAATACTCAAATATTGAGCCAAATGTTCTTCCTTTTCATTTTTTTGAATGCAAGTTTATGACTGGTTTGACAGTAAGAGGCAAGCTGCGATAATGCTATGGATGACTGGAGGAAGCCACCGAATTGGACTGTAATCACTGTAATCTACCAAAGAGCTCTCACATAATTGCCAGCAATAGCGGAGCCTGCCCAGGGTTTGATTTGTCCATGTACAGAAGGGCCCAATAGGCCTGTGGCCTGTAGGTGTCACCACAATATAAATGTTAAATAAGAATAGCAGTGACAATAATAGCGTAAAGTTAAGCAGCTTTAAAGTCACCCATCAGCAAAAGCACCCAGCTATCTCTAATGAAACTACTTAATACAGGTAAGTCCAGATGTTATTTTTCACATAACAAACTCAAGCTAATCATGATTGTTTAACTGCCAGTTAGCTACTTCATGCTTAATTCTATTACCCTCTAACAAAAGAAGAAGAAAAAAAAGTGTATATTCTGATACTCACTTCTAAAACTAAGCTGTAGCTCTGTCACATCCTTAAAGTTAATACCTTCCATTTTGGCAAGCTTTCCTATGTCCTCTGGACACTGCTCTTCAATGGCTTTCTGAACCATTTCATCATCAATAACATTTGGCTCAATGCTATTGTATAACTGACTCATTTTTAGACGGCAACAGCCTTAAAGGACAGAAAAGAAAAATAAATTAAATCACTGCCTGGCCACTATTTCCAACATTCATTAAACAGGCATGACAAGTCCAAGGAATTAAGAGCATGGCTGAGCATTAAGAAGATCTAAAACCTCACAGCTGATATCAAATAAAGACTTGACTTTTATCGCAAAGTCACTGACGCAACTGTAAGCACAGCCCTACAGCCAAAGCACTGTAAAACAGCTGGGTATGATCACATGCAAACTTCACACCACGTTTGAGAGTTCTGCATGAAGAATGCCAGAATTTGGCAGAATTTGGCCAGATAAATAGACCAGGAAAGGAGGCCCTGTGCAGCACCTGTGAACAGCAATGGCCCGTCGCATGACAGTCACCTGTTGCTGAAATCCATCTTCATGAAAAGGGCATATTCAAGGCTCTGTGTGCCATTTATTCTAGTTTTAAAAGGTAAATTTTCCATTATGGGCAGGTTGGATTTATAGAGTAAGAGACAGTGTATTTATAGCATAGGAAAATTAACAATAACAGTTCAATAAATTTTAAACACCAACATCATAATAAAAATGAAAACAAATTTGAGGAAGGAGGAAAATTTATGAAAAATAACAGTGATATTCTGAAGAAGGCATTTAATGCAGATCCATAGTAAAGGCTGTCCAGTTCAGTCAACATATAGTGCTGCACACAAAGACCTTTGCTTTGGGAAACAGACAATTCTGTCAGTTAAAACCTTCTGTCCTGGCTTTGTCATTTAAATATCCCTAATGTTGCCTGGGAGGCAATGAGACTACTTATCTTTCTAGAACTGTGCACAGTTAATGAATCAGTATAAAGGACTTGAATCTTCAAACTTTTATTTGCGTAAGATGTTTATAATTATGGAAGAAGTTCTGCTGATTTTTTGCATAGGAGGACAGGAACGATAAATGTCAGGGTTTAGAGATTTCTCTCCTCATTGTGGCTTTTAATTAACAAACCAAACCTCTCTATGGCTGTGCTCAGTACAGACCCAGGCTCTGGGTTTATTCATCCTTGACCTGCCAGACTTTCCACTCTCCTTGTATTCGTCCATCATCTCTTTAGTCCATGGTGGTTCCACAGAGCTAATCGTGCTGCAAGGTCAGCACCTTGCTGCATCCCGTGGGAACAACGTGGGTGTCAGTGCGAGCAGTGGGTTGGCCACCCAGACAAGAAGCTGCTGCTCACAGCCAGCCGGAGCCCCGGCCTGGGAAGCAGCACCAAGTCCCTGACACCCCCTGGCCCTGCAGGCCCCGGGACAGGGACCCTGACTCTGCCTGTCAGGCTGGCTCTGACCCAGGTGGGCTGCTGCCTCTCCCCCGAGACCCCTCCAGGCCCAGATCCCGGCCCCCCAGGCCTCTCACCCCGCAGGTCCCCACGGCCCCAGGCCCGCTCCGCGCCCCCGGTACCCGGCCCAGCCCGGCCCGGCCCCCACCTGCGCCTCGGCGGCCGTACCCGGCCCGGCTGCTAAGGAAGCCCAGGCGCGTTGCTAAGGGCGGCCACGTGACAGGCTCAGCCGCCAATGGTCAGGGAGTGGGTGGGAAGGCTGGCTGCTAATCAGAGCGCGAGAAATCCGTGTCAGCCAATCAGCGCTGGCACCGTGCCCTCGGGGCGGCAGGAGGCTCGTGTGATTGACGTTTCTTTTGCCCAATAGCATTGGAGAATTGTTTGGCTGTTGCCCAATGGAGAGTGCCAATAGCCGTGTCCCTGCTGTCCATCAACCGGAGGGCGTGGGAAGGGCCAGGACTACCGCGGGGGCGGGCCCCTCACTTGACAGTGATAGGCACGCTCCTTAACCTATGACCCCACGGGGTATCCAGCCACTACCCAATTGGATGCAAGGAGGCGGGCCACGCTTGGCAGAGCAAGCTGCGGTTGGTGTCCGCGGATGTCAGTCAGGGCGGGGTGGGGGAGGGGGGGTCGCCGGGCTGCTGTTTGTTGTCATCCCAAGATGGAGTTTCTGCTGGGGAACCCGTTCAGCACCCCGGTGGGGCAGAGCCTCGGTAAGGCGGCCCGGGGGGTGCAGAGGGCTCCGGGGGGACCCGGAGAGCCAGCGGGGCCTCTGGAGAGGGTGGGGGGCTCCAGGTAGCGGGGAGCTCCGGAGGCAGCGGGGGGCTCTGGGGGTCGGTGAGGTGCTGTGGAGGGGGTGGGG